AGACAACAAAGAATATTTTTACTAAACAAAAACGTCTTATTTGGATTAACTTACTGTTTTCATAGCTTTAAATTTGGCTTGTTCAGAGATCTCAAATTATTATTCACATTAATACACATACATTTATCATGAATTGATTTTATATTACGATTATTGAAAGTCATTTAGAAAAATATTAAACGGACGATCTGGCAAGGCTAAATAAAATAGGAGTGTTACAGAATAATGAGTCATACTAAATTATTATTAAAAACGGAGTTTTATGCTTTACTTACAAGTGGTGCTCCTTTACGAATTTAAAAAGCGAATACTCGGCGATGGATCCCGGTACCTCCTGACCTAAATATGCACATTTTATACTATTATTATTTGAATGTAGACACTATCAGTAGCAAAACGCGAACTCAATCGATTTTCCGAACTGACAGGCGCGCAAGCCCGTGCTGGGCAGACGTCAGTTCATATGAGACAGGCGCTGCGCAACTCAGGATAGAACATATGGCTTTCTTCGCTAATAAAAAAAACTCTGCACATCAGAGCTGTCAAAAATACAGCCTAATACATTACAAACAAAGTAAAAACAAGTTGATTTAATTTAGATACAAGTGCAAGTTAAATCATAAAGTAAAATGCAATCGGTTACTGTGTTATCAGATCACGGACAGGTTGCCGTTTTAAAGAAAGGAGGGGAACTTGACAGAGGTTCTAGATACATTATAAAAAGGTCCTTTTGTACCAATAATGGAAGTCTTTTAATATCTTTTGCAACTGGTCCAAAAAACTAGTCCAACGTGAAACGCTACGTTGCAACGTGAAACAAAGTAACATGTTAATTTTGTATGATTGCGACGCTTGCCAATGCCTGTATTAAGTTTAACAACGGCAATAAACACCATTTCATTTCATCGTCCCCACAGGTTCACCTGTCATTCATAGATTTGTCATTAAATTAAACTATAAGTAGGCCTAGGATTCTTGCACGGCCGCCTTTGACTCCAGGCCGTGGCTTTCGAAGTTGCATCGTCGCAAGTAGGGTTTTAACTTTTAACCCTTAATTTGGCAAACAAATCTTTTTTTGAAAACGACTTTTTCCTTGCAATATTTCAATCAAAAGGGTCCAAAGGAACTTCAAAAAAATAATTTTAAAATTCTTATAAGTATTTTTCACATTTTTTTCATGTGTGCCATTTTTGGCACTTTGCCAAAGAGGCGGAGATTTATCTAGGGATCTTATGTTGAATTAAATACAACAAGTTTATCTGTATAGCACTTAAAAATAAACTTTAGGGTTTGAATAAGTCGACATTATCACATATTGGATATCAAAATTGTATAACTATAATTATATGTAAGATATAAACAAATCAATTTCTCCACAAAAGTTATCAATCCAATATAAAATGGTATAAACGTCATTATAAAAAATGAACTAAAATGTATACTCATGTAAAACCTCTACAACACTATGTGATTACAATAGAAAATACATTATTATATAATTTATTGATATTTCATTAGTCATGCCCATTAGGAAAATCGTTTGACATTTCATTAGAGTATGTCCATCAAGAAACGTCATCTACTTTTGGTGAAACCCCACAAAACAATTGCTATTTTCTTTCAGTTACAGCCTTGCATTGCACTTTGAACACTCTATAGACGATTTTTTATTTTTGCAAAATCTGCATCGACCTCTTGATGTATACAAATAAAGGGTAGTAGTGTCCAACACCATCAAAGCGTACATATTCAACATACATCAGAGCAGCTGGTGTGAAAAGAAGTAAATCCTTGTCTTTTAGAACTTGTCTTTTACTCATTTCTTTGGTTAGCGATTCAAAAATCCCATAACTAAAATTTTTTAGTTACATATTGTCTTGCTGGTTTTCAGTTTAATTATTTTCAACGTGGCAGCAATGCGTTATTCCACGATATGTCGATACAGTGAGCAAATATTTGTGAGTACCAAAGTCTTTATCGGAATGCACACTCAACTTTTATATAAGAAGATTCGATTTCAGCAGGAAATAAAACTCTTTTTGCTTGTTGCCATGGATGGTCGGGATTTTGTGTAAAGCCAAAGTCTTTTCCAAACGGCCTAGTGAAAAATCTTTCCTCACAAAAACATTTTTATTTTACAATTTGTGCAAATAAGAGACATACATTAACAAATATAAATACCTTTCACTGTTTTATAAACAGTGCGCAGCTTTAGGCGCGCTCAATAAACTAAAAAAATAACTGCATCTTTGGTAATGTGCCATTTTTGGCACGCCCAAAAAATTTCAGTGTTCCCTGGTTCTTTGGCAATGTGCCATTTTTGTCACACTCAAATTGTTTAGTTTATAAAAAAATCAATATTCATATTTAAGCTAATTACTGACCTGGGTTATGTTTTCTCATCTTTAATCTGTGCAAATCACTTAGATATATAAGTAAACAGCCTAAAATATTGAAATAAGAAATAATTTACTAACCTTCTACACTAAGCCTCCATACTTCCTTTTCTATATGTTGGTCTAAAGTGATAGTAATTTTCAAAACATCCACTATAGTGCACTAAACCATAATAGCAATAGGCAAAGAACCTTTGGACGCCGTTTGTTGGAATTAAAAAGTTAACAGGCGAACGTGACATTTTTTTGAATCCTCATGTGCCAATAATGGCACGCTGTCAAATTAAGGGTTTTAACAGCTCTTTTATTTTGTTTGGAAGCACCTAATGGTATTTGAGTATTTACGAAAACGAAAGCTTGGTTACTGGACTATAAAAATATTGACTCCGCTTTAAATGTACAGATATAGATTTTCAATTCATATTGTTTTGGTTTTCAATTCTGTATGTTTCATTTTCATTATTTTAATAAATTGTACCTATGTACATAAGTTTTAATTTAAATCAATGAAGTGCAAATTAATGAGCTGGGGCCCTATTTTTGAAATGGTTGACTGTTGAGTTGAGTGTCGAGTCATTCTATTTCCAATCATTTCGTATTTTTGAAACGATTGACGGTGGACTTATACAACCAAAACTACTCAACACCTATCGAGCTGTTGAGTAGAGGTTGACTGCACTTTCTTCTTCCTCTCTTTCGGCAAAAAATTACTCTTTTTGAGTCGACGCCATATTGTATTGTTATTGCTTTAATTTACTAATTGCGATTTAGAGGTTATGTATTTGTTGTCAATGTCTTAGCACCCAATACTTTATGCGATTGTTAATTTTATTTACTGTGTCAATACTAGACTATTTAATCTATTTACTTTGTTATAAGAATATTTAATTTGTTTGAAATACACTAGGCATACCAATTGAACTTATTAAAAGATAATCATTGTTATTAGACCTATGATGATTTAAGGTATTAAAGATTGTTGTAGAGAGAAACAATATCATAGTTTGTTTCAATACCACTCACCTAATAAAGGGATCAAATTAATTTAAGTTACGATAAGCTTTCAGTGCAATGGCAAATAGCCATAAGCTTTAACCATAGATAAAACATACAATTTGTTTCCCGTTATTACAGCCATTTAAAACCTCGTTTAACCTAATAATACGATCTAATCATAAACAATAACTTGTCCCCTAGTTATATAACCAAACAGTAAAGCACAAATCAAGAAATTAACCCTAAAATAATAGAAACAAAGTTTCGTCGACACTAGCGCCCGAGTGTCACGTACATGAACTAGACACGAAAAACGTGCTTCAAAATTTACAATGGGATGAGAAGTCTACTTGTGTTGGTTAGTCTATGCTTTAACCTATTTAAAAACACAATTAAAAATAACATGAAACAAAACGATGAAGAAAACTAAAATAAGGTGATGTGTTCTGAAATAGATACGAAGAAAGCAAATAATAATGTATTTAGGAATTAGGATATGCCTAAACTTATAATGAGCTACACCATAAAACAAACACCCATAGTAAATTTTATTGATAATACTTATAAGTTTATATAAGGTACTTTTGCAATCACTAAGATTAAGCAAGACATAACCTCGATCTCTCAAGAACGGAGTTGACAGTTTACCTCAGTATCTCGAAATATGGTAGATTGAGATTAGCTGATCCAGATTTTAGAGTAAGAAGAGGGGGTAAAATCGAAGATCACAAAAACTCTGCATTGTGATTGGTTTAAAATGACGTCATCTGAATTTCGGGCGGTCGTATGCTCTACATTTCCAAAACGAGTCACTCAACTAGTGATTTCCAACTCACTTCCAAACTGTTGGATTTCAAAAATACCAAATCCTGTTGTTGGTTGAGTTGAGTGTTGACTGTAGAGTCAACTGTCAACCATTTCAAAAATAAGGCCCCTGGAGTTAAAGGCGGCCGTGATTCTTGAAAATGTAATTTCTGTATTTTATCATAGAATAAAACATTACTTCATTTATGATTCTATCATAGATTAATAACCATTGGATAGGTAGAATAATAAATAATCTATGCCTATAATTATTATACAATAAAATATGTCGTTAAAATGACTATAGTTATTTAGTTAAATTGCATTAACGAACTGCATTATTTATTTTTAGTATCAGAATTCTTTCCCAAAGTGTACAAAATCATTAAAAAACATCTGTGAATAGTTTCATCATTTTTTTAAGATTATATCCGTATGCTGCAGTAGCTGCCTTAGGAGTAAAACTAAAACTACCTAAACTGGGGCCCATTTCATAATTAAGTACAAACTAATATTATTAGTAAATCAGCTGATCGCCCAATGCAAATCTAATGGAAATTACAAGTTACAGTTTATTATGAAATGGGCCCCTGGTGGGGTTAATTATTTATAACACATCACACAGTCACAAAATTTACATTTACAGTAAAAGAAGGAAGACTCATACGAGGCTAGTATGTTTAATCTACTGCAAAATAATATCTCAGTTTAATGAACTAAATAAGATGGTGTAGCTGCATGGTTACAAAATCAAGCCTTCAATCTAGTAGAAAGATTAGAAAGGAGGAATGCAAAGGAAAGGAAACCACGAAAACGAAACTAAACGAAACGAAATAATAACAAACAGACTAAATGGCTATTTGTGTTGCAGTTATTGGAAAAGAAGTAAGTAATAATTAATTTTAAAAAGCTGAGTATATCAGCCTACCGCATTTTAGTGTTAATTTACATTTAAATTGTATAAGTTAATATATTTTTCACAATCATATATTTAACTTATTATTTTTTTTAGGTTATGTTATGTTGAACTAGGCATAGAAACCGATAGAAACTCCATCAAGTTGTTTAACAATCCAATAATATTCGACATAACTTAAACAAATGTAAGTGCTCAAACCATGTAGAGTCAGGACTGACAGCTTATTTAGAAAGATCTTTATTTGTTACGGGCTTGTACAATCTCTGGGTAAGTTAACTTACAGTTTCTTGACGGGGCTACGCTAATATCGATTTAACTTAACACTTTCGATTCGATTAGTAAATAAATTCGATTAGTAGTTCTTCATTAGATTTTTTCATTATTAACAAGTTTGGTTAGGTTATGACAGTTTCAATTTATAATTGATATAGGTAGTTAAAAATATTGATTATTAAATAATATTTTCAATAGATAGTTTCAATCGATAGTAGCGTAGCCCAGTTAAGAAACAACCCTAAATCGCCCCAATCGCTCAAAAAAAAAACCCAAAAAGAAAGTGTCAAAAGCAAACATAAACTTGTGTTTAAGAGAGTCATCCACCGGTTAGGCTATGTTAACTAGCCTAATAATAAAATTACGTTTTTCACACTGTTTAGGTATGATTTTATACCAATAACAAAACAAGTAGGGCCTATGCTATTTTTTCAGAATTCACCCAAGTTTATAGCTTGTTTGAGGGAGGAGCAAGAGTTGCAGTTTCATTACAAGGTCCACACATCTCTAGACATTGTAGAGGAGAAGCTATCGTCCCCAGGCAAAGTGAGTGGAGATTTGCGGGAACTCTACCTCGGACTTCTCTACTCCACTGAAGAACAGAAAATGTATCCTTTGTAAACCGAACCAATGCATTTTGTGTTTTTATATACAATAAAATAGCAATAAGATCTTCTCTTCGCAGAGCTGAAGCTAAGATCCATTGCGGCTAAGCTTTAGGAAATAATCTCTATGTTTCTCTCCGTAGAATTACAGGTTATGAAAAGAAACTCGTATTTTTTGTTATTTTGTTTCATTATCTGGTAAACTCAGTTCGACTTTCTAAAATACATTGATGAAGGGTGTTTTTACCTTTTTGTAAATATTAGCTCTCATTGTTGCTCACTTTATACTGTTGGTGCAATAATGTACTTAGCCAATATGGTTAATACATAAGTTATTGCAAAATGTTGAAAATGGATTTGGGACAACTCAAAATCAAAGTTTCTCTTGCCTACAGGTACTGTTAACTAACCTAAGTACCTTATTAACTTCTGTGCTCATGGAAAATTTCTTAACATATTTTTAGATTTGGTTATGTAACCAACACAAAAATTAAATTCATCATTGTGGTAGATTCAGCCAATTCCATGCTGCGGGATAATGAAATACGAACCGTAAGTAAATTTGGTAATGTAAGGATCTTTTTATAACCTTATTTAAATGACTTGTGTATTTTATATTTTACTGTTATAGGCCTACTGTTAGGCCTGAAACACAATGGTTGCTCCAAAACATTTCTAATGTAAAGTTTTGTTCAGATTTAAAAGTGAAATCAAAATATCATTAAAATAACCATGGGAACCTAGACCTATATATATTTTATATATCGCCAGAAACAAGATTTTTAGCTTAAAATAACTTAATGGTACAAACACTTTTCCGCGATTTAGATTCAAGATAACCAGTATAGTGACGAAAGTTGTTCTGAAAAGCTGTTGTACCAGAGATAATAAAGACATTCATTTATATTTATGTCTTTTTTTGTCATTTAACTCATTTAAAAAATATGAAGACCAAATGGAAAAATCTCTAAGGTTAACTATTTAACTAATTCATCAATACTGTAGGCCTACCTGAAATGTCTAATATTATATTCTTAGTTTTTTTTTTTTTTTTTTTTTTTTTTTTTTAAAGAGGTTGGTGGCCTCTTTTAACCTTGCATTTGCCCGTCCACATAGACTACAGATCTGTGCGTGGAACGTCTCCAGCAAAGCAAGGGGTGAGCCGGTACAGTACAAAGGTGAACTGTACTGATAAAAGTTTGTGGCAGTGACCAGGATCCGAACCCACGACACTTCTGCCTTGGGCCCAAAGTCCGTGACGCTACCAACTGAGCCACCGACTCACCATTGCTTTAGTCTCAGTCGATAGCATAGACATAGAATAGTTACAAAACCCTATTATGAATAGTATCTAGTGTTGACGGCACATCGATCACCTGGTGTGTCAAATGACACAACAAACAGAGCTACTCTCAACTGCCGCTGTTGCCGAATGGAATTCCTAGAGTTCTTGCCTACCACGTTGTTCTCAGGTTCGAGACCCGGCACAGACACTAACATTTCATCTCCAAATCGGGGATGTGGACGTCTCTCATAGCCGGGGGGCATGGTCAGTGTCGTGGACGCCATCAGGGATGTGGGAAATTCATGATGCCATAAAAAATCTTGTGTGGATCTTTCCTACTAATACTTATTCTACATATAGGCTACCGGACACGGAAAATTTGAAATTGTCTTTTGCTGATCTATAAGATTGATGGAATGTATTAATGAGTATATTTTATCCATGGTTTAATGTATCCTACAACATTTGTAATGATTATTTTTTCTGCAGATGTTTAGAAAGCTGCATGCAGCGTACACAGATGTGGTGTGTAATCCATTCCATGTACCGGGAGATAAGATAGAATCAAAGTAAGTACATTAAAATACACTGTCAACTTGAACATTAATTAGTTATATTTTACTAATACTCCCCCAAGTAACACATTTCGGGGGAAGACAGTGGTTTCAGTGCTTAAATAACACCCCTGCAACCCCCATTGTCATACGAAATATCTTAAAACATAAATAGCATTCCAAGTTGGATTCAAGATTCTAAATTGAAAGAATCAGGTCAAAATTTTTATCTCTTATGATTAAGTCCACTAAATCAATGGACCTTAGCTAAAGATATTTCTTGTCTAGTATGTTTTTTTTTTTTTAAGATAATTGTTGTTGAAATAATGAGTAAACCTTTTACAAATTCTAAGGCTTTATGTGAGTAAAAACCAACATTACAGAAAACACAAATAAACAAGTTAAATTTGCATAGTAACCAGGACAGCTGATCAAAGTTGTAATATCAAGGATATTAGAAATCATCACATTCTCCCTTGGTTAAAATTGAATGCATAATCTTGTAGGTATTTTGGAAGTCTTTTCTCCCTGATTGGTCTTTGATAATTTAATGTTAATGGTAAATTTGGTACACTTTCACTTGTTTCCAAATTATTGGTTGGATTTTCATTTATTTGTACATCATTTTGTGCCTCATCTTGTCCTTCTTGAGAATTTGATGTCTGGGCCATAGCAGTGTCAGTTTCATCTATGAGAAGTCTCACATTCCCTCAAGGAGCCAAATGCTTTAGAGACACGTTCGATTCTTGTCCATTTTGATTTCAAACATGAGCATACTGAGGGTTAGCTTCGATAATCTCTTCTTCATCCACTTTCTTGTCGTACTTGCTTGATTGATTATGGCGTTTTAGTAGAGCTGGTCCAGAAAAACTTAGCCATGTGGGCAAAGCAATTCCATTGCTTGATCTCCTAGAGTGCACAAAAAAGCGTTCGTGAGGAGTTGCATTGGTAGCCGTACACAGTAAAGATCTAATAGCACGCAATGCATCATGGAGAACACGCTCCCACTGCCTAATTGGTAAATTCTTTGTCTTTAGTGAAATGAAATGAAATGAAAATGTGCTTTATTGCACAATTTAGAACATAAATACATTTTTACACAGACACACTTGTCTTTAGTGCAAGGATTATTGTTCTCCAAAGTGTTCCGTTGAAGCGCTCGACTTGTCCATTTCCTTCTGGATTGTAAGGTGTTGTTTTACTTCTGGCGATACCATGAGAATGTAAAAACGATACTAGTTCTTGAGATAAAAATGAAGATGCTTTGTCGGAGTGGATGTAACTTGGAATTTCAAACATTGAAAACAGATTACTAAGACAATTAATCACAGTAGATGAACTAGTATTCCTACACGAATATGCAAATGGGAATCTGGAATATCAAAAATAAAGGAAAGAGCTTGTTGATCTGTCATTAGTTTGAAATGATGGCCAGTAAGAAAGTGTTTCCATTTCCGTACAGCTTCTACAATGGTACTTGCTTCCTTTTCAATAGCAGAGTGTCTTCTTTCAGTGTCAGAAAGACTTCTCGAATAGAACGCTATAGGTCTCCCATTTTGACTTAGAGTTGCAGCAACAGCAAAATCAGATGCATCAGTCTCTACCATCGAAGTATATAACACAACTGGAATGCTAGGTACCCGTTCAAGAAAGCGCACAGTTGTGGCAGCCTTCCCGCGCCACCATGTGAGACCCAGCAGATTTTAGCCAATTCATCGAATAGTGCGCGAAGTTGTTAACTCGCTCCTAGCCTTCAATAACAAAGATTAGAAGTTGTTATGAGTACAATAATGATACTAATGATAATGATAATGATACGAGCATGAATGTTGATTAAGTACAATAATAATGTTTATATATTCGTAATCTGCATTAAATGCAGAATGTAATGGTATAAATAAATTTTACTTTTGTTTTGAAATAGAAATTCTATAGTTAAAAAGAGTTAACAATTTTTACATTGTGACATGAAAAAGTTAGTATGCGAGGAACTATTTTTATTTTTGGGCCAGAAAAAAACTGTAAGCAAAAAAGTAGTAGTTTAAGAGATGATTTTTAACACGTGATTGAGCAATTTACAATCAAGTTTGTAGTTTGTTTGAAGTATAGTGATTGATAGTGCGACGAGGTTGATTTTATGTTGCAGCAACCTCCTCAGTCTAGCAACTCTATGTTTTTGCTACTCGATCATTGTAAAGCAAAATAAATTTTAACCTTTTTTAATAGTTGATATAAGTTAAAGAATACAACTAACTATTCTATGGATGTGATCATATATTTCATTTATTTGCAGAAGATAAATATCAATACCGGGAGAACAGCCCGCGGCGCGATTTATAAATAACCTCTTTGCGTTACTAATTACTCCATTACACACGACTAGAAATTTCGACTTCTTTGTAGCTTGAAGTTTGCTTCTGACCAAAAAATCCTCACTTAGTAACTTTTTCATGTCAAGGTGTGATATTTGTTCAACGTTTTTAGTTGTTACAATTCGAATTACGATTTAAATAAGATTATATTTATACTGTCAGATTCTGCAGTTAATGCAGATTCCGAATATATAACTTTAATTGCAGTCAACCTTTTGTATGCACGGCCAGGAGCGTATTAACAACCGCGTGCACGGCTTGAGGAACTGACATATTATCTGCATTGGGTCCCACATAGTGGTGGGCGAAGGTTGCTGAAACGGCGCGCTTTTTATCCCACGTCTCCTATCTACCCGGTGTTCCAGTTGTGTTACAGTAGAACTCCAATTATCCGAACTCCAATTAACCGAATCTCCAATTATCCGAATCGCTTATTTCAACAATTTTAAAAACGTAAAGCTACAGTAATAAGTTTTGCAAAATATAAAAGAATTGTTATTAAACACATTTAGCCAATTTTGGACTTTGATGGAACACTATTGACTTAACATGTATAGAACACTTGTACTATGAGCATTGTAAACTGTAAAAATGTTCTGATTTAAATTATTATTAATTAAAAGTTCACTTAGTACCGAAAATGAGGATTTTTCTCTGATTATCCGAATGGGGTCTGGTCCCTATTGATTCGGATAATCGGAGTTCTACTGTATATACTTCGATGGTCTCTACCAGTAGTGGACTTTCTGGGTCAATGGTAGTAATAATCGAGCTGGCAATGTCCTTTTTCAGTTCCTCAAAGGCAGATTTTGCAGATTGAGGCAAAAGAAAGATTTACAACAGACTAAGTTTTGTATTTTGTCTGAAAGATTACATATCCACTTAGAGTAAAAGACAAACATTCCCACAACACGCTTAAGGGATGTCGCATCTTTCGGAAGAGGCATCTCCAAAACGGTTTTAGTCTGTCTGGATCTGGTCTCATGGTCTTATTACATATCAAATAACAGCTTTATTGAACTATGAGAAAACTTGGACTTCTTATCGTTCAAAGTGAAATTATACATTTTAGCTACCTGAAGAAACCTTTGTAAATTCTCGTCATGTTCTGCTTGAGAACCGCCACAGATGGTTAGCCTATATCATCTAAATAAGCATATACACTCCTTTAAGGTTTCTTTTGATATTATAGAGTCTATCACTCTTTGAAAACAGGCTACACCGTTGGTGAAACCAAGGGGGATTCTAGTGAACTGGTATAGCTTACCATAAGCTTCACAAATGCTGTGTAAGGTCTTTCTTCTGCAGAAATGGGAATTTGATGATACAGGGAGCGGCAGAAATATCTGACGGTTTTCATGCGAGTACAGTCCGGCAGCCAAGTGGAGGAGGGTGGTGGGGAGCGGCTCATTCTCAAGGCCAAAGATGACATTTCAGTCGCCATAGAGCAGTGGACCGGCGGTATACATCGCGCGTTTGTCGTTGAGGCGTATTTTAAAAATAACGATTCTGTTGTTGATACGCAACGTAAGTTTCGTAGGCATTTTAATGTGGCTCGTGGGGAACCTATCCCATCCCGAAACACCATCAAATGTGGGTGGATACCTTTAGATCCACAGGATCAACTGCAAAACGTAGGCCCACAGGCCGTCCAAGGTCAGTGAGGACGCCGGAGAACGTGGAGCGAGTGCGACAAACAGTGCTAACGAGCCCGCATCGCCCGGCGCGTGGACAAGCTGCTGCTCATGGCATGTCTGAGCACTCTATTCGACGAATTTTGCTGAAGTTTTTGGACGATTGCTATTTTATATGGGTGAAAGTGAAGGTCTGAGTTCAAAATTCGTCGAATAGAGCGCTCAGACATGCCATGAGCAGCAGCTTGTCCACGCGCCGGGCGATGCGGGCTCGTTAGCACTGTTTGTCGCACTCGCTCCACGTTCTCCGGCGTCCTCACTGACCTTGGACGGCCTGTAGGCCTACGTTTTGCAGTTGATCCTGTGGATCTAAAGGTATCCACCCACATTTGATGGTGTTTCGGGATGGGATAGGTTCCCCACGAGCCACATTAAAATGCCTACGAAACTTACGTTGCGTATCAACAACAGAATCGCCATTTTTAAAATACGCCTCAACGACAAACGCGCGATGTATACCGGTCCACTGCTCTATGGCGACTGAAATGTCATCTTTGGCCTTGAGAATGAGCCGCTCCCCACCACCCTCCTCCACTTATTTATTTATTTATTTATTTATTAAACATCATCACATTACATCAATTCTCTTGACAGGTGATTTGTCACAAAGTCTAATACTAATACTATACTACATTTTAAAATAAAATAGCTTACAAAAGAAATAAAGCATATAATAAGCTACAAACCTATGGGAGAAGCAATATCTTTCAAATATACTCATTTTCCAGATATTCCTCTAACGAGTAAAATGCCCTCTCCAAAAGGAAATTTTTTAAAGATAGTTTAAATTTAGAGAATGAGGCAATGTTTTTAATCCCAGCGGGTAATTTATTGTAAATTTTTGGTCCCATATACTGAGGGGATAAATGAAAGATTTTAAGCCTATGTTGAACTGGTTTTATAATATTTTTGAATCTTGTGTTATGTGGATGAGATTGTTGACAGTCCATGAATGTGTCGAAATCACTTTTAACCATTAATGCCAATTTGTAAATATAAGAGCTAAAAAAAGTTAAAATTTTAAAATTAATAAATAAATCTTTACAATGTGTTCTACGGGAGACTCTGGCCATTAATCTTACAGCTCTTTTTTGGAGAGTAAATATTTTTTTGGCCTGGCTTGATGAGCCCCATACAGTAATTCCATAATTCATAATCGATGAAAAATATGCGTGATATACTACTATTTGTGTTTCTAGATTAGTAGTATCCCGAATTATTGTGAGAACAAATGTTGCTGAGCGTAGTCTTTTTGATAGGTTTTTAATGTGTTTTTGCCAATTTAGTTGTGAATCAATTTCTATTCCCAAATAATTTATTGACTGTTGTGAATGAATTGTAGTTAAGTTTGTATTTACAATTATTTCTTGGTTAATATTGGATGCAGAAAACTGAATTAGTTGAGTTTTTGCCACATTCATGGACAGGCCATTTACTGCAAACCAATCCCCAAGGAGTTGAAATTCCTTAGTTATTGAGGCTTGAATGAACTCATTGTTTTGTCCTGTGCATATTAAAGCGGTATCATCTGCGTATTGAAAGGTGGACATCTTAGTAGCATTGCATAGATCATTAACATAAATAATAAATAAACAAGGGCCGAGAATGGAGCCCTGAGGAACTCCATTGGGGTTAATGTTCCACTCTGATTTATAATTTCTCTGCATTTTTTGTAAAATAAGTCTTTGTTTTCGGGTCTTTAAATATGATATGAACCATTTTAATTCAGTATTTTTTATTCCATGCATACTTAATTTTTCTATGAGTATCTCATGATTCACACAGTCAAAAGCCTTGGATAGGTCACATAGCACACCCACAGTCTTCTGCGATCCATCCAAGGCTTCCGCAATGTAGTTAATCATTTTTGTTATGGATTTTTCAGTACCGAGTTCTGGGCGGAAACCAAACTGTGAAGGATTTATTAAATTATTGCTTTCTAAATATTCTGTTAGTTGAATCTTTACAATTTTTTCAAAAATCTTTGAGAAACAAGGCAGAAGGGCGATGGGGCGGTAGTTAGAGGGATCGTTGACATCGCCCTCTTTGAACAGAGGTTTAATCTCAGCCAACTTTAGCTTATCAGGAAAAACCCCCCCCTCAAGGGACTGATTCACTATTTGGCATAATGGATGTTCTATCAATTTAAAAACTCTTTTAATGACAAAAAGAGGAATTTCATCCCAACCTGAGGACTTAGTGTTACTGAGAGATGTAACAACTTTTCTTAACTCGTCAATTGAAACATTTCTAAATTTAAATGTTAATTTGGAACGTGGATGATTTTCGATTAGTAACTGAGTGGCTTTTAATTTATCTGTTGATTTGTTGGCATACTGAGAAACATTAATAAAAAAGTTATTGAATTTATTTGCTACCAATACTGCACAATTTTGTATATCCCTTTCATGTTTGAATTTAATCTCAACTGGAGTATCAGATATTTGTTTATTAAGTCCTGTTTCATTTTTCACTACTACCCAAGATGCTTTACTTTTATTCTTAGATTTTTTAATAAAATCGTCATTAGCTTTCAGTTTTGCTAGTGCAACTACTTTTTTAAAGACCTTTCTGTAGTTTTTGTAATAGATTAAAAACTGAGGGTTACGATTCCATTTTGATTCTTGGTGCAACTTATTTTTATTTTCTGCTGAAATTTTTATTCCTGTTGTTATCCAGTTATTTTTGTTACGTTTATTCTTTGGACGATCTACTGTTTTGGGGAATGCCTCGTTGAATGAATTTAGAAAGTTTGTAAAAAATTTATTGTAATTTGTATCTACATTAAAGGTTTCAAAAGGGTTCCAAATAACATTATTTAGTGTGTTTTCAAAGGTTTGAAAATTTGTTTCTGTAAACTTCCGAGTAAGTTTTTTATTTACACCCTTAAGTCTTGGAGAGGACATTTTCTCAAATGACAAAAGTAAAACTTTGTGGTCTGATGCACCTATGTCTAAAACTAAACTGCTAGTTTTTTTTGTCTGCAAGTTAGAAATAATATTGTCAATGCAAGTACTTGAAATACTGGTTACCCTAGTTGGAACAAGAACGTTAGGTTTGAATCCAAAACAATCACAAATTTCTAGTAAATTATCAGTACTTACTTTATCGGTAAATAAATCTATATTTGTGTCTGACATTATAAAAACATTTTTTGACATTGCTTCCAAAGCTATTTTGTCTAATAACATTTCAAACTTTTCTAAAAATATTTTATCTATGTCCCTACCTGGAATTCTGTATACTGAAATAAAAACTGAATTCCAGTCCTTGACTTCAATAAAAGATCCTTCAAAAGAACATTGTTCATTTAAAAATTTTAAGTCATTTCTAATCTTAAAACTAACATTTTTGTCAATCATTAAACATGAACCCCCCCGCCATTGATCTATTCTAGCATAGTAGTCAGCAATTACAAAACCATCTAGTTTATTTAAAACATTTATACTTTTAACATCAAGCCAATGTTCATTTATAGATATAACATTAATTTTGCAATCCATATTTCCAATAAACAGATTAAGGTCTACATAGTTGTTTAGAAAACCCTGAATGTTAAAATGTAATAAAAACATATCTTTTCCAAATTTACTATCAGACCCTAACTTGACATGTGCATCAGTAAAATGATCTATTTCTCTAAAAAAATATCTTTACTATTAGTACTACTTGTATTCTGCTTGTTGTTACCACTTGTACTCTGCTTTTCACTACCACTTTTGCACTTGTTACTTTCACAACGCTGTAACTGATGGTGTGATGGGATGAGTGGAGGGAAGGTGTTGAGGCTGGCCAGGATAGGCACATCATCGTCTGGCCTCTGTGATGTTGGATGGTCATGGTGGGGTGAAGGACCTGGAGCCGCAACAGCTTCAGACATAGAAGCATCCTGCTCAGTAGCTGACAACTTAGTATGCCTCTGTATTTCCTTGTATTCATTACTGATGTCATGAGTTCCGGGACTGCTGCAGATGTAATCAGTTTGTGGAGAAGCAGGATGACTGGATTGTTGACTCTCACAATACTGTAAGCGGGAGTTGACTGTAGAATTATCTAGCTGCTGTGGAACTTGCAGTTTTGAGGGATCAGATGGAAGATCATCACTTGGCTGCCGGACTGTACTCGCATGAAAACCGTCAGATATTTCTGCCGCTCCCTGTATATGCTGATTTCAAGTCAATAGTACTGAATATTGCATAGCTAGCCACTTTACTTACAATGTCGTCAAACTGGGGTAGTGGGTAAGCATCAAGTAAAGTATATTTATTTATCGTTTGTGAATAGTTAATAACTAGACGTTTCTTATGGTTTTCATTCAGAGTGATTAGTGGCTGAGCTCGCCAGGGAGAGTTAGTCTCTTCGATAATGCCCTCAGATAGCATGTTTTGTACCTCACAGGTACGGTAATGAATTGTTTGTCTTCGTCTGAAAATCGTCGGGTCTTAGTGGCAATGGGTCGTATATTAGGAACTAAATTACTGAACAATTTTGGAGATACATCATCAGCCGATAGTAAGCTACATATGGAAAGTGGTGGTCTAGGTCCTCCAAAAGATATGTCAACATGAGAGTGATACTTAATGAGATCATGTCCGAGTAATACATCTGCACATAACTGCGGCAAAATTGACAACTTAAAACCATTGTACATATGACCTTGAATATGTAAGTCTACTAATACGTAGCCTAATACTAAGGACGCCAAAGTTGTAGTGGCCATAGAAACCTGTCCACTTCCAGGGATTACTTTAATTCCGTGTTTTAAACAAAATCATGATTTATTTATGTAGCTATCAGAAATACCAGTATCAATTAAAGAGTTAGCATGTCTACCATTTACTCTGGCTGAGACGACAGCTTTTGACAAGCAAGCAGGTCCAGCGGCAGTAATATTAGCTGTAGTATTTCCAGACGAATCGGGAAAAAGCAGACACTTCATTGTTTCGACTAAAACCTCTGTTGATAGGTTTGGATTTACATACCTTTGAGAAGTGACCTTTTTTACCACAACAATGGCAGGTGACATCTTTTGCTGGACATACAGAACGAGGATGATGCTGATGGTCACAGAAGACGCACCTAGACTGTGCAAAAACTCAAATAAATTGCTAAAATAATGAGTAAACCTCTAAAAATTATAACGCTTTATTTGAGTAAAAACCAACATTACAGAAAAACACAAATAAACAAGTTAAAATTTGCATAGTAACAAGGACAGCTGATCAAAGCTGTAATATCAAGGATATTAGAAATTGTCACAAATGTAAGGGTTTTTTATGCTACTAGTATGTTTTCTATATGATTGTGGTTGGTTTAGAGGAAAGGTTTAGAGATTCAAACATAATTCGACATTTTTTTGTTCTAGAAAGTTTGATGCAGTTGTGAGAGCCATCCTTCAAGGGAATTGAGTAACAAAGAAGTGCAACATCAACGCCACATCAAAGATGTTATATGTGTAAAGGAAACATAGTTCTCCTTTTTATACCTTGTAAATTTGTATTTAATCATTCATTGTATAAATATGTCATAAGTTAATGAATCCTATTGACTAAAAAAAATGTTTATATTTTTTTCTGGGTATTCCATTTTATTACCCTTTCCATCTATTTGGCTGATCATCCCAATATAAGGTTGTACAATCAGTCAAATCTTGAATAGGTAAGGTATTGAGGAATCATTTTGTCAGTTTTTGATGTAAAAGATTCATCATCCTGAATCTGTTTTACATACACCAGCAGTTGCTGGGGTAAAAATGTAAACAAAATTACCCTTGTTACTATATTTGATAACGTTGTTCGATAACATTTCTTTGTTCACGACTTTAAATAAGTTAAATAAATTACTCATACCATACATAGGCATTGGAATAATTGTTTCAAGAAAAGCTTATCCAAATTTTAATGGAGAAATAAAAACGTTGTTGCCTAGAATTGAAAGCGAGCTTCAATGTTGCAATTTGACTAGTGTCTTTACCTTTAGTAATACCTTTAGCTTAGGGACAAATCCTTAAGTACTAACAATCACTAGTCATAATTACTTATGACAGCTTTTTTAAGTAGCCGTTTCAGTTCAGTTCTTAGAATTAAAAGTTTCTCATAACAGTATTGTTTACTTACATAACAGCATATGTGTTATTTACTTAACAACACGGGTAACGGACCAATGAGGTTCAAGGATTGAGAGAGAAGTAAAATTGCAATGCTTCGAACTTCAACTAATCAGCTGTTAACCAATTTAATTGTTAACGATTGGTGCAATTAGTGATTGGTACAATGAGTCGTTGCATCACTTGTCAGTGGCAATGAGAGATTATGAACGAAAACTTAACCTCTCTTAGAAGTTTTGAGTAGGTAGTGATTATTGTAAGTAATTAAAAAACGGTCTTAGGTAAAGTAGTGTACGCAAACTACTACAAAATAATTCAGTAAAAACCTATAAAGTCTTGAGTATATTGCTACAGTACATACTTGTAATTTTATTATGCAATGTGCAAGCAAATATTTCTGCAACGCATATATTTACCGCTAAAATAGTTCAAACTTGATTTATTACGTTTCGATCCTTTTCTAGAATGCACAGGTTAATCTACTCTGGTTATTAGATGAATTAATTTAATGCGTTCAGTAAATAGGTACTAAATATAAACTAAAAAATGCTATCTAGATTGTTTGACCCAAATAAAAACAATACCCAGAAAATTAAACCTCACCTACTTCGATGTTTTCAAATCCACTGGTGAAGAAACTTTTGAAATTAACTTTGCAACTTTAAACTGGAATTAATTTAGATACTTTCTTTTTGTTGTAACTTTCAACCTTGTCTGTTTAATTGAGTGCTCATTTCGAGAACTATATTTTAAGCCGGTTCACCTCTAATTATAAAATGTTACAATATATTCTACATTAATTAGCTGTATGTTCTTCACTAAGGTAAATGAACACAACTGGTTCCTTAGAAGTTACTGTCGAAAAATAGTTATTGTGTTGTAAAAATAATTATTGATAAAACAATGTAATTTCGATAATTAATCAAAATTACACATAAGACCATCACTAGACCATCGCTAATACTCCTTTTACGTTGTTTAGCATTGTTTAAATGGAGAAAAGTGGTCATACATTACGAAAACAACACGTTTCTCTGTTATTATTTATCCAATATTAACAAATAAGGTATCATTGAAAACTACATAAAATTTACAAATTTTTTTTTGCTCTTGCAATTTGTTTGTTAAGTTAACGGTTTTCGTGAAATTTGGCATCAAATATTTTAAATGGCCGCCATTTTGAAATGGTTAATGATTTTTTTAGTATAATTTCTAACGATAATAGGTCTTAATAAGATTAACATTTTGCAAAATATCAAAGCTGTGTCTTAAACCGTTTAGGGGTTATTAATGTTTTTGTAAAAAACACATAAATGCCGACAGTCGGTAAACTAGACACCACAGACCCATGTTCTTATGGTGAAATGTGTTTGTCTTGACCTGACCAATAACGCTATATAAATGTGTTTAGAGAGTTACGGGACACCCTGTATAATAGTTTGGACAGTATATCAGAAAATATGCTAACCAACTGCTGTTCTTTTTACAAGAAAGTTTTAACTGACTACTGTACTATAAGATACCTATGCGTAGAACAGGCACACAGCTAGTCCAATCAACTAAATGCGTAAATCCAAGTCCCAAGGTTATTGATCTCTTCTCTTGGTTTTGGATTTTCTCACAAGTTATCGAAAGTCAAAGTTATTTCCCATCAATTGCATTATTTGCAAACAACTTTTAATGTAAACACATCGGTGACAGTTTGAAAAAACAACCTTATCCCAACAACTTTTTGTTAGTTAATTGAAGACGTATTCTATAAACCATGCATGTTTGGTATATCTAGTAAACATTAGAAGGAGATGTGAGAAAATCACACAATGTTAGGTTTTTGAACGTTTTAAATTTATTTCCTAAGTAGGTAGGCAATGTCCGGAATGTAAATCATCCTTTGATAACTTTATAGGAATACTTTCCAATCAAAAGTTCCAACTTCAAAACTTCCAACAAAACAACGCCAAGCTTGAATAATGGAATTCCTTTTCTCTTTTGATAGTGTAAATTAAAAAGTATCCCAATGTTACATTTTACTTTTGACACACGTATTACCGTGTGTCATCATTAGTAATTTAAACTGCCCAGATAAATACCATACAAACGGCAAAAATCATATCTTTTTATGCCTTTAAATGTTACATTAGGCATGCAGTGTCTTTATGTTTGCCAGAAAAAAATCTTAACACACATTTTTGCATACTTCTACGCATACGCAAATGAAACAATCATCTTTTTGTGCTGTATCTCCAGAGAACGGAAAATGTGATTGTAATAAGTCATTTATAGTATTGTGGTTGCCTTGTTTTTGACCAGTTCACAAAATACATGGAGTGGATGGATTACCCTTCCACTTTTAGAACTTTTAAATTATTTTCTAATCCAAATAAAAATATTTTTTAATACTGTTCTAAGTTTTGTAGAATTTCAAAGGTACTTTATGTCCAAATGGATAATGTAATTTTGTGTCTGAAAACTATTTTCCATTGAAATTCTGATGAGCTGACCTAAAACAGGAATCACTTATCAAAACCTGAATGGTTATGGATAACTGGCTCACATATATGACGTGGGACGATATATCACAAGTATTGTACTTCACGATGATTAATATGTTAGGAAGTCCACCAAAGGTTCAAAACACAATATTGATCCAAGCTCCAACCTTACAATATTTACCGGTAATGCCTTTAATACTTGCTGGGGGACATTCTGAAACGTTTCGAAAATATTTTTTTAGAAGAAATTGATTATTTACGAACATTTGAAACGGATGCTTAACTATTGCAGCCATAGTTGTAGTAGGATGTTTTATGCGGGTCGAATATTCATGGACGTCATACTACGATTTTGACGAGCCTTAAAAACGTTAAGTTTTATGTCAAAGCACGATACAAATATTTAAATTAATTGTTAATTCTAGGTACAATCAAGATTATGAATATTTAAGAAATATAGCATTGAAGAAAATTACTCTATCTTCGTTTTATTTCATAACAATTTATTGTAATTGCATTTGATATGACGATTTGAAAATGATTCCCAGAACAGTATGAGTTCATTTCTGTACGTTATTAATTCTTTAACAATAATTTATAAATATCAAAGATACAAGTTAAAAATCAGTTATTGCCATGAAGGTCGCCTACCTTTTTTGAAAACTGCGTACACTTCACTAGAGATAATAGCATGCGAAGAACGGAAAAAACCAATTGGCCTGGCACTTACAATAAAAGTTTAACAGTTAAAACTTTAACAGTTAACAAAAACAGACAGTTAACTCATTTTCCAGACTGTTTTTGTTATAATTCGTTATGTTAAGCTTAACAAGAATGATTAAATATTTTATAACAACACAACATGACAAATGAAATATTTAGTTTGTAATCAAGAAGTTAAACACAAACATAGCTTACTGACACCGGAAGCCTGTAATATAATTTAAAAGATAAATTTTTGGTGTGGTACTGCTGCAATACCTACAAAAGAAACAAACTCTTCTAATTAAGTTACTCTGTCTATGTTAATCCACTTTTCTCACAACCACCTATTATTGTATTTACTTTGCAATCAAAATTTACCAAGCTATCATTTTGCATTAAATAAACACTGCTTTCCCGTTTGTGTGTTAAAACGCTGAATGTATTATTCTAATTAGTTTGCTCTTGAGCTAGTCTCGTAGGCTATTTTCTGATATTTTAATACCCGAGTATTTAAAAATTGATTGAACAATCTTAAATAAACTCTTTGAGTATACACAAACAATGCAATACTGACTACTTTCTAACATCGTGATAGGTTATAGAGGCGTTTTTTGTACAAAGCTTTCATTTTTTGATTAAAAAAATTTACACTGGTGTGCCTTTTACGAATTAAAACACTTAATGCTTGAATTTTAGAATATTCGTTTTGCCAGAATCTTATAATTTTCGCAGTATTTTTTAATTACATGTATTGGTTAAATTAAATCTATATCACTATACACGATTTATGCAACAACACCCTCTTACAGCACTGCAATACATTACATAAGAGGAGGTCCTATTGTTACAGGTAAGTAATGACATTACTTCCTTGTGTCAACAAAAGACAAACCATTACAAATAATATTATTTCCAATTGCCTTCCTAACTTTGATCCTTCATGTTAGAATTTGTATGAAAAATTTATATCTCAGTTACTCCGTATGTACAAATACCCCCGCCGCAGCAAACCTGCAGACTAAGCGAGTTTCCATTTGCCTGATTGGATTTACAGTAGTCGCAGCTAGTCTGGGCGCGCGGACCCTTGTGTACTAGCCGTGCTTTAACGGCTCGCTCACCCCCACAGCCTCGCTGAACAACCCCAGAGAGCCGTGTGGGCCAGATGTTTTTGGAAATGAGCAATAAACACTCCCCTCTACACCCCCCGCCATAGCGCGGCCGCGCGCCCAGACTAGCTGCGAGTACTGTACACTAAAATGTCTCCTTAA